GTAAATATACTTAAATTTAGAAAGTAAAATCTGCTCAAGTTCAGAAAGTAAATTTACTTGGTTCATAAAGTAAATCTACTCAAGTTTAGAAAGTAAAAATATTCTAGATTCTGAGAGTAAAATTTGCTCCGGTTCAAAAATAGATATGTCCAGATTCTGAGAGTAAAATCTATTCGGTTCGAAAATAAATATGTCTAGATTCAGAAAGTAAAATCGGCTCAGGTTCAAAAATAAATATATCCAAATTCGAGAGTAAAATCTACTCGGGTTCAGAAATAAAGATATCCATATTCTAAGAGTAAAATCTGTTCGAGTTCAAAAATAAATATATCCAGATTCTGAGAGTAAAATCTGTTCGGGTTCAGAAATAAATATGTTCAAATTCTGAGAGTAAATTTTATTTGGGTTCAGAAATAAATATATCCAGATTCTAAGAGTAAAATCTGTTTGGGTTCAGAAATAGATATATTTCGACTCAGAAGAAAGATTTTACGAACAATGTTTAAGTCTGAATTTACAAATATGACTTTTCCAAGTTCATATTCATCATTTCCACTTACCAAACGTACTCCGCTTTAAGTAAAACGATCAATTACCTTTTTAAACATGCATAAGACCAACAAGACGAATTTAACAATCCAGTCAAGGATGACATTTCAAAGTTCAGATTTTGACAATTTTACTTGCCAATTATATCACACTTTAAGAAAACCAATCACACACCTTTTGAACATAAAGAAAAAATTCCAAATAATGACCCGAAGTGGGATTGTTTTCTTTAAAAAGGGTCCAGAGTACACAATATGTCAAATAATGGCATGAAGTGGTCAAATTTGTCTCAAATAAGGACCTGGCGAGCACATGCATCGCACATCCCACTTTCTAAGCCATGTTGGGGGCATTTTCATTCGGAGGCAATTTTTTTGTTTTCATTCTTTTTCTGTTTCTTTTTTTTTCTTCATTCAGTGTTCATCTTCTTCCTTCTTGTTCTTCCTTCCTTCCACACTCATCCAAAACCGAGCCCTAGGGTTGGATTTCGGTGGTGATTCAAAACCAGGCGACAGCGATGGGTGAGTTGATATGGCTCTGAGGAAGCACTCCCAATACCTTGCCAACGGAAACGAGCTGCTCCACTTTGACAAAACCACCGTGGCATGCCCGCTGGGCTTGTTGAGCATCCACGTCAGAGCGGTGTCACATGTGCAGGATCGTGGGGCATGGTTTCTCTGTGAAGAAGGAATTGAATGGAGGTATTGGGTGTGCACATCTGCGGGAGCGGTCATCAATGATGACATAGTAACAATTGCAGATAACCGATACCATAAAGGGTTAAATGGCATTGATAGCATTTTTTCATTGATTAAGGATTCGCCAAGCCTTTCCAGAAGAGGATTGAATTTCTCGGACTTTCTTAAAATTTTCAAATCTAGATACCTTCGAATACTTTGCATCAACAAACAAACAGATGAAAAGCACAACAGATAGATTCTTTTGTTGAAGCTTGAGAAAACTATGACACTTAATCATTCGATTCATTATCTTGAAGTATTCCAATCTTTGCTTGCAAAGCATCTTCCATGGCAGAAAAGTCCAGCTTGTACCTGATTATGACAAATAAAAAAATGAATCCATAACTGATAGAAAAAGAAACATGACATGGCCCATACCAGAAAAGCTTTTTCAATTACACAAAAAAGAAACCAGAAGCTGGAGTGAGATCGGGCACCAGAAGCTGCTCAGCGTTGGTGCAGAAGGACGAAGAAGAACAAGACGCAGATGAACAGAGAAAAGAAAGAAAGAAAAAAACAAAAAAAATTGCCCCGGGATGAAAATGCCCCCTTAGAAAGTGGCACGTGAGATGCATGTTCTTGCCATGTCCTTATTTGAAACAAATTTGACCACTTCAAACCCTTATTTAATACATTATGCACTCTAGACCTTTTTTTGATGAACGGATTTAACTTCAGGCCTTTATTTGGAATTTTCCAGAACATATATGAGACCAGCAAAACAAATTCAACAATTACCATATCCATAATATTATAGCACATTAGAATGGCATTTCTCAACCGACCAAGTTAAAAGTTTCAAGTAAATTGAACTAAGTTAACTCTAGAGTCTTCACTTACCTCGAATGGAACTTGATCAATTCAAAGCTCTAGATGGAGTCTTTCTTTCATACTCACACTTGAAAGTAGAGAAGATCAAGTTTTCCCCGATTATGTTTCTCATCACCTCAGAACTAATGTGCCAACTCTTAGGTAAAGAGAACACAAGTGTAAGCTTGCATGAAGAAGGAAGGCTACGTGTGATAAATTTACAAAGTTTTCATTTTACATTGCCATGTGCTGTACAAATAGAACAAAAAAGAGGATTAGCTCATATGAGAAGTAATGATGCCTAACCTATATGTATGAGTGTCTTCACCTTAAGAAGACCACTTAACCTTCCATGCAAGAGTAGAAGAGAACATGTGGCCTCTCATGCAAAGTTTCTTTCTTTAAGAGACAAATGGCTTCTTAGGTGGATTCATAAGAGTGATGAAGACGTTTTGTGAGAAAGAATCCTTCTTCCTTCGGCCAAGTGGGGAAGAGTTTGATTACTAATTTCTTATGGTAATGACACTTTGTCTTTAGGTGTCAAGTTAGCATAAGGTCTCACTTGGAAGAGACACATGGCTTTACATGTATCGTTAGAAAGGCACATGAGCATTATGTGTCGAGATTGAAAGAGTCTTGACACGTAAAGATAAAAATAAGTGGCTCTCATTCTATTTAAGAAAAACAAGTGGCTTACTAAGAGTGATTAATATTGTGAGAGTTCTCCTCCCACGGCCAAATAAGTAGGTCTCTATTAATATAAATAAATTGTGATTAGTATTAGTTAACTAGTATTATAAATAAATAAATAAATAATGTACTTTATGAGACTTGATTCAACCAAAATTATAAATAAATCGTATTGAATGTTAAGAAAGTCTCAGTTTAGTAAATTCAAACTCGAAAATCATATAATTTTGAAAATGTCCGCCCCCATCGACAAATAAGATGACGGTAATTTAATTAGCAACACTCCAATAATCATCGTATACGTCGACGCATATCAACTGAATTTCAACATGTTGAATTCGGGACGATTACGTTCGCGGGAAATCATCCTTCGCGACTCACAAGCTTTATGATCCAACTAAGATTTCTACGTGTCCACCCGATTTCTAATCTAAACAATACTTAATTTTATAGCCAAATTATTATTATTGGACACGGAACATTCCCAATACTACATCAATATGGTTTTGAAAAGTCGGGATGTGACAAAAGCGAGCTAGTATGGCTGGACAAATAAAATCCAGCCGATCGTTTCCGTTTTGTCTCTTCCTGTATTTACATTTTGTGCGAGCGTGCTGGCTTGAAGTAAACAGGACAGTCATCACCTGATTTGGTGGGATCTTGGCTCCAAGAGAAGACTTCCACACGCTGCTACTCAATAAATGAAGGGAGACTCCTCTCGTCTCCTAGCAGCACAATGTAGAAATCTTGAAGATAAGCAAAGAAAAGCAAGACGGCAATCATTGTTCTTGGAGGGTCCCTTGGTCCTTTTTGTCAATGTATCCCGGAAGGGACTTGATCTCATTCTCTTTGGCGCATTGTGAGATTTGTATTGGGCGTAATTTAGCCCTGAAAACACTCGAGTGCGAAAGTGATTGTAACCATCTAATTCTCCGATTAATAAGTGGATTAATTATTTGCTAGCTCTCACTCGTGGACGTAGGTTTCGACATTTGGACCGAGCCACGTAAATTTCCGGTGTCAATTATTGTTCCTCGTAATTATTTTCTCTTATAATTTCATCCTTTCATGTCTCGACATAATTGTAAAGATTCAATCCGTTTTCGCGACATTTTTTATGATAGTGGCAAGTGCCGTGATAGTTCATTGTTGTTTAAGCTTGCAAGTCGAGGTGTCAAGGTGGTTTCGAACCTCTTGCTCTTATACAAGTCATCATTGAGATTCTCCTTGACGGTGGCTTGAGTTCGTGATAGATTCGTAAAACTAATGTGAGTTTACAAGTTGAGTATTTTTGGCTTTGGAATCAGGTCAATCCAATCTGTATCGACAAAGTTATAACCATTTTCCCGAATTAGGGCAGAATCGAAATTTCTGCTTGTGCTTATGACGTAGTTTCCGTGTGTGCAAGTCACTTTCCCGATCATATTGTTCAAGTAGTCAACTTTGGGCTACATCAATCCCTAAAACATTTAATGAGTGGAAGATGCATAACCACTTACAAAACATCATCAAAATCATATAAACATGGTCTAATAAGATAGAGTTTCTTTGTATGAAAATTGGGTCAAAACTTATATGAATTTTGTCACTTTCAATTTATTAAGGGTCATGAGTCATAATCAAGCTTGGAAAGCCACACATGATTCAGATTATGACATTCCACGTCGCTTCTCCCGATCAAAAAAGTCGAATGTTGGACTAGAACGGTAAATTTTTTATAAAAAAAAACGAGGCCTAGTAGGCTAAAAAACGAGTCGTCTGGCCTAATGAATCTGAATAAAACGTTACGTAAGTAATTATTCAACGGAATCAAGATTCCGCAAAGAATCATTAAGGGGAATCATTAGACCTGCTTGCGATTTGTAAATATTGAGGGCAACAATTAGCAAACAAACCATGAAAAACGAAAGATAGGGGCACAAAACTGTCATGGCGGGTCATTAAGTTAGAGAGAGAGAGAGAGTTTAACCCATTTAACGTTCATATTTATTTGAGTTTTGCCGTGCCAAAACTCGTATACTAGATCTCATTAATTCATATAACGATTTAACTCATTAAATATCTTAATAAAAAAAATTCAAAAAATATGAAATTTTTTAGTCGAATAAATTAAATACGAATTTTTTTTTTTGTCAGAATAAATTAAGTCTGATTAAAAAGTGAGTTTATAGCTCATTTTGCCAGTTGTAGATGTAGTTGTAGAGAGGGAAGGGGACCAATGGTCTCACATTTTCCAACCACTTGTGCCACGTGACCATCGCCATGTTGTCCTTACTCTCTTCAGTCAACGCTTGGCCATTCTCCGCATTCACCGGCCCCCCGCCTCCCTCCCTCCGATCGCAGCTCTCTAATTCCACGGCCATGAACCCGCCGGAACCTTCCGCCGGCGCCGCCGTCGCGGCCGGCGATGCCGACCCTCGCGTCCCGCTCTCCAGCCTCTCCACCGTCCGCCTAAGGATGGACTCGGTGCAGCGGTTCCTGTCGCAGTCCCTCAGCAGCAACACCCTCCTGAGCAAGGACCAGATGGACATGGTGTCCGCGGAGATCGCGTCCGCGATCCACCAGATCATCGTCAACGGCGCCGCCCTGTTCAGCTTCTCCCGCAGCTCCGGCTCCGATCCCGAGCCGGAGCGCTCGCGTCCGAAGGCGCCGGTCCGGGGACCCGCGCACCCTCCGGCGGCGCCGCCGGCGGAGGTCGACGTGAAAGTCGAGGAGGACGAGGTCGAGCCCGGTTGCAAGATCGTGGAGCTCGACGCCGCCAAGCTCCTCGCCGAGCATGCCCACTTCTGCGACGTTTGCGGGAAAGGGTTCAAGCGGGACGCGAACCTGAGGATGCACATGCGCGCGCACGGCAATCAGTTCAAGACGCCGGAGGCGCTGGCGAAGCCCGAGCGGTGCGTCGAAGTCCCCCGGAAGACCCGGTTCTCTTGCCCCTTCCAGGGGTGCAATCGGAACAAAGGGCACGAGACGTTCCGGCCCCTGAAGTCGCTGATCTGCGTGAAGAACCACTTCAAGAGGAGTCACTGTCCGAAGATGTACTCGTGCAACAGGTGCAACAAGAAGAACTTCTCGGTGTTGGCCGACTTGAAGTGCCACTTGAAGCACTGTGGGGAGTCTAGGTGGAGGTGTTCCTGCGGGACTAGCTTCTCTAGGAAGGATAAGTTGTTTGGACACATGGCTCTGTTCGAGGGTCACATGCCCTCGGTCGCCACCGATCACGAGGAGAAGGCATCTGGGGTTGCTGCTATGGAGGATGATGAAGATGAGGATGTCAAGGTTGAGGACGAGGAATTGGCCGCGAATTCGGTCGAGGGTGGTTTCTTTGAGGGGTTGTTTGATGGGTTTGGATCGCTTGATAGCTACTCTTTTCAAGATCTCTTGAATGGGATGGGCAATGGTGTGCAGGGGTTTCCCGCGGTTTGACATTAATCTGGTGGATGAATTCATGTTTCGTGGGGTACTTGCTTTGTTGTACACTTGATGTTTCTGTAATCATATTGAGGATGATTCTGTCTCCGGTTCTGTGTTAATTATCGTTACTGTTATTGATCATCGTAGGATTTGTACTTCCTGGTCGTATCTTGATTTGCAATAAAGTTCTTATCTTTACTTAGCACGCCCTTCTCGAACCTGTGTTGATAGATTTAAGCAGGACGCCATCATTTTGCTGGAGTAATTAGAAATGCCTTACATAACAGAATTTGCTGGTGTTCATTCATATGAGCAAGCGAGCAAGTCCACTCCAAAACAATCTCTTTGTGCACACTGTCTTGTTCTCGTCCATGACTGTTGATTGAGGTGGTCATCTTGATCTGCATTTGCTGATGTGCCTGGAGCTCCCATTATCCTGGTTTATGTGTTATACGACTAGCTTTGCCTCGCTTGTCGCTTGACCGAGACATTGGGTTATCAAACTTGAGTAGCTATCTACAATTGTTAGCAATTTTTTCTCCTGTAATAGTAGTGGATGTGCATATTATGCGAGCTAGCTGTTTGTTAAATTAGCTGTTGTTTGATCTGGAATCTCATCATAACTGAGACAATTGGAACGTGATTATGTCCTTTCTCCAGCTGTCTGAAAGTTTTTTTGTTTGTCAGCATGTAGCTATCATTTGTCAAGCAACAATTTTGCACAGATTACTTGTACTTTTGGAAATTAGTCTGCTGTACATATCAAGCACATTCATTAGTACTCCCTTTACATGTAAGTTACATCTTACATGTGAAACTTGGTCAATATGTGGGTCAAGTCGGGCTAGACCGTGCTCTTGTAGAATGGCAAGTCTGAGGTTTGGCTCTGCTAATCTTGGTCCCCAGAAGCCTTTGCCAGGCTTGCTCATTACTTGAAAAACAAGAAACTTTATGCATCAAAGTTCAGGCTTGGTTGGACCTGCCAAGCTGGCTAGAGCTGTGGTCTTTTGAATGATGAATAAGATTTCACTGAGAAGGTACCAAGGGGGTACCGTTACCAGCACCGCCCCTATAAAGACTGGCTTCAAAAAAGGAGCCTCCCATTTACTTGATTATGAACAAAAATCTTAAGATAACCACTTGCTCATGCTGCTCCATTAATTTTTGTTACACTGTGCCATGCAGAGCTTGGAATGATAGGTATAGTTCTCTGCCCGAAGTAGTGATGGACCTCGGGGATCCTAACGCAGATCAAATTTAGAACTAAACCACATCAAATAGATTATTGAAGGACTGAAACCCAGTAATAGTAGAAATATTAGTGGAACAGCTAGAAGTGGGAGTATTAGGATTCAATCTCCTGACTAGTGCCCTCCTACTAGCCGTCTGTCCAATCATAAGATGGGCATGCATTGTGTATTCAGCATGCTTCTTTTTAGTTAACCTAGTTTCTAGCCATTATGGTCTTTCATGTGTTGAGACTGACTTTAGCGGGTATTGCAACTATTTGCAACTCATGGGTTGACTCTTTATGTTGCATCGATGAAATAGGTGATGGTTGCATGCAGTAAGGATCCCAGCCTAGTGAAGCTTAACTCGGACGGATGTTCAAAGGACTTGAATTTTCCTTGTAGCATGTAGATGTCTTAAATTTGAGTATGTTGTGAAAAAGTGATGATTTTCTGTTGCTTTTTACTCAGCCTACTCATCACTCCACAGTCTCTGAAATAGTGTTAGAGCTTTGTTCAATGAAAAAAATGGAAGGTTTGTTTACACATATTTGGTTTAGTTACTTGTATTCCTCATTACAAGCTATAATTGATGCTATATAATTGCTTTGTGGCTTCCATAGATTGAGACTGATGCACGATGGTTTTTTATTTCACTTGCCCCTATAAGCTGGAAAATTGAGCAGAAGATCTCTACTCTAGTGACCTGCAAGCTGCATTTAGTTTATCTTTGATGATGTCATTGTTAGGAAGTGAACCGCCATGTGCTGATAACTGGACAGACAGAAATTTAGAGTATTTGCTAAGCCAATTTTCGTACAGATAAGTACGAGGTTTCGTATCTTCTATATGATTGTTTGCAGGGATTAAATACTGCTCGAGCATCTATTATACTCATAAATACAAGTACTTATACTATGAACTGGGAATGAGTAACCTACTCATAAACATGCGGAAGCAATAGTTCGATGCTTTACATGAAAGATCTCTCTCCCTCTCTCTCCCCATATGTACATGAACGCCATACTGTTAAGTAGTTCTGAAATTACTTAGTAGGCGGGACCGCAGGCATTTTTTCTCTAGCAGCCGAAGCTGCAGAGTATTCAGCAGATTCCTTCTGAAGTCCCAATTTGGACCTCATTCGTGAGGTGGCATCTGGCAATCACTTCCAATGCAATTGTTACTTTTTCCGGTACTTGTTAGGACACGGTTCCTTGCAGCTTGTGGGTGCGTTGGTTTTAAGGTTTGATTGTGTCTTCGATTTTTGCATCCGCAATATTCCTTTTCCATGTACTTTTAACTTTTCAAGCACCCCTTTCTTCGCTGCCGATAGGTATCCGTGGTGACTGCTGTCATATCATTTATGGAGCACGTTGTCAGGTTCACATTCTCAGGGTTGAATGAGAAGCAAATTGCTGTTGGTGCGAGCGGAATACATGTTTATCTGTCGTCCGATGGGTAAGAGGATCTCCTCTTTCTCTTATAGACGAGGAATGTAGTTTTGTTGCGCTCAAGCTCGTCACTGCAAATCTGGCTTTAACTGTAAAAAGCCTTCATGCAGTATGTTAAGGTTTATAAATGTTTACCGGAAGGTTTCATTAGTTGTAGTTGTGCTTCCTGTTTACTTTTTCCGAGAAACGTTCGATTGTGTTCGGTGCTTAAACTCGGAGGCGACGTCGCTCAGTCGTTAACGTACGAGGAAAATGACTGCAAATGAATCCAACAACCAGCAGGAGGGGGGAAGACAATGCTCTTGGGAATTACACTAGATCTCCAACCAAACCTTGTTCTTCCAGTCCTATTGCATGGACTTGGGCTGTTACTTCAATACCACCAATAGTTCCTTGCTTCTGAGCAAAAACATGTTCGGAAGCTTCTTTCCATTCACAGCTTGTAAGCCCTTGCACTGCGACAGCAAAACAACGGGCGCACATATCAAACATATACCACACGTTCAGATCGAGTCGGACCAGAACATAAGTATAAAGTTGACAAAATTACAAAAACCCAATTCATGTAAATCAATACCATCATAGGAAATCGAATGTGTGGGCCCCTAGGTAGAACCCATGCGATCAATGGACATGATGGTATCGGTACATACAGACTGAGTCTATGTAGTAATTTCTTGCTTGGTACATCTGTAATTTGCCAAATGTACATTTGTACATCACTTCAAATCAATGTTTCCATCGGTGTTTGTAATTCGGCGCAAATTAAGGGTCATAATCCCGTGCTTTCTTCTCAATGCCAAAGCATTTTCGATAAACTTAGCGGCGTGTCAAGTGGTCGCCGGCTCGTACCAATGAACTTACAGAAACTGTCTTGGAAATCATTTAGCACACAATTGGAAATTATCATTTGATCTCAAAAATCACTTCCTTTTTTTGCATAGAACATGCCTGGTTTGAGCTGCCTCCCCATCTCTTGGTTTATATTAATCTTCAACCGAATTATTTTCAGAAAAAGAAGCCGAAGCTTATGAGCAACCCCCTTTATGCAATCATAGATGATTTTCTTTTTTTCTTTTTTTTACATATTTAAGGTGCGTTTGTTTCACGGAAAATGTACAATTTCTAGAAAATACTTTCCAGAAAGTCATTTTCCAGGAAAATGAGTTCGTTTTCCAATATTTGGCTAAAACCTAAAAAAGACTTGAAAAGTATATTCAGTTGTTTGGTTAGGAAAATCTGATGGCGAAAATTATCAAAAAAAATTTGTATTTTTTAAATTATTTTTATTTTGGAAAAAGAAAGGCCCGCGACCGGCGGCGGAGGGAGGAAGAAGGAAAAAGAAAAAAAGAAGAGAAAAGAGAAAAGAAAAATATTAAAAAAATTCAAGATGAGCAATTCCCAAAAGTGTTTTCACCTTATTAGATTAGGGAATTCACTTTCCTAATTTTATACATGAATGTTTTCCTTAATTGGAAAGTGTTTTCAGTTTATTTATCAATTTTGGCAAACCAAACGAGTGAAAGTCCGGAAAACGGATTCCCGAAAAACACTTTCGCTCAAACAAATGTACCGTTGGTCGAAAATAGATATCCCGTGTTATATATAATGCACGTTTGAGTAGTTAAACTACCGGGCTTTACCCATCTTGTTCTTGCAGCTCTATGTCATGGACGTGGGCTGTTTCTTCAACACCACCACAAGTTCCTGCTCTTGAGCAAAAACATGTTCGGAAGCTTTCTTTCCATTAGCAGCTTGTAAAGCCCCTTGCACTGCGACAGCAAAACAACGGGCGCACGTATCAAACACGCATCACACGTTCAAATCGAGTCGGACCAAAACGTAAATAAGCAAACAAACGAGCCGATTAAGGGGAAAAGTGCTGAATAAGTCCTAAACCTTTTGAGAAAGTGTCAATTTAGTCCTAAATCTATTTTTTATGCCAATTGAGTCCTAAACCTTTTGATATAGTGCCAATTCAGTCCTTTTGGCCGGATTTTGCTGACGTAGACGTCGGCTGGCCGGCAACCGGTCACCGGAGCTGACGTGGACAAAATTTAATAATATTTTAATATTTTTTTGAATTTTTTTTTCTTTTTTTCTTCTTTTTTTTTTCTTCTCCCTCTTCCTCCAGCCGGTCGCCGGAGTAGCGACCAGCCGGAGGCCAGAGGCCGGCGAGGTCGACCTCGCCGGCCACTGGCCAGGCACGCCCTCGCCGGCGACGGCGAAGGCGAGCCTCGCCATGGCTGGGTGAGGCTCGACCTCGTCGGATCTGGCGAGGTCGAGCCTCGCCGGCGGCTGGGCGAGGCTGGACCTCGCCAGATCCGACGAGGTCGAGCCTCGCCCAGCCATGGCGAGGCTCGCCTTCGCCGTCGCCGGCGAGGGCGAGCCTCGCTACTGGCCGGCGAGGTTCGCCTCGGCCCTCGCCATGGCCGGGCGAGGCTCGACCTCGCCGGATCCGGGCGAGGTTGAGCCTCGCCGGCGGCCGGGCGAGGCTCGCCTTCGTCGCCGGCGAGGCGAGC